TGCGCCAAATTGGACCCCTTTACCCTCTCTCATGGACTTAATCAAACCCAATTACACATTGGACCCCGTCCTGTCACTAGTCGTTCTATGGCATCCCCAGGCGAAATCTTAATCCCCCCTATCCCCCGGATCATCCGCAGATTATACCACCAATTATAGGGCATGCTTATTACCCAAAAATACTGCGATTCCTCTCTGTACCTCTTGAGCAGCCTATCCCAGTATACAATCCGTCCCTTCCCCCAACAGTAACCCGTCACCTACGGTTCCCAGCTTCTATCTCCCTTCTTAGAGAATTTCATCCAGATAGCTATGGCTCCTGTATGGCCTCTGTACACCCCATCCGGGATGGATCGGATACTTCTTCCCATGTTTCATACTGACGTATAAAATCACAAGATGTAAATCTACACCCCATACTCCCCACCCCAAAACGTCCCTGATCTCCCACTGTTTCCCACCACCACCCTCCCACTATGTCACCAAGTTATGTTCATCGCCCAGTGTTTTAGGTGTATTAGCGCATAAACCTTCACCCCTCCTACCCTACTCTCTCTACAGTAATCTCAACCCGCGTCAATCTCATGCCTCCCCTAAGGATGACATAACCCCTATCCAAATGTAAATGCTTCTATCACATCATCCTTCGGTAAATTACATTCGACTAATGGCCCTTACAGAATTTCTTTTTTTTTAAATAGTCGATCCACCACGAATAAGTTATTTAAGCCCTCCAGAATACCGTTTTTGCTTCTAGCCCTGACCTAATATTCGTTACCGAATCTTGGCTCCCTGAATCCACCTCATCTGAGCAAATATCATTATTGATTAACACTTGTTTAGAAAAAGCAGAAGTCGCCGAGGTGGGGGCTGCTTAGTATACACAAAATGTGACTTCCGCGCAACCCCTCATGATCACCCCTTAATAAACTCTATTTAGGATTCGATTTGGTTAAAATTGCAACTATCAAGCTCTTTCCTCCAAATAGGATGTCTATATAGACCTCCCGGTACTTCTGCATCATCATCATCTTTCTGCCCATTATTGACGCTTTAAATTACCCAGTCCCATTGCCCAGGTGTTCCCAACTAACCAGTGGTGACTGAAATGCTCCTAATATTGACCGAAACACCCCAGCTCTCCTTCTTAGCTTGCTGATTTCATCTCATGCATTCGCACTGGTTACTGGACTCAATGCGCTTCACCCGCTACAAGGAAAAATAACATACGCAATTTGGTTTTCAATCTAAATCTATCTAGTGTCGACACTCGTACACTCGGTTACTTCCCTGGTAGCGATCACAGAATGGTTTCTTGTAAATTCTGTGCCCTCGCTAACCATAAAGAGCACTCTCTTCCTAATCCTGCTCAACCTTACTTTTCTTTGGATCTCTTTCGGGCTCTCCTGCGCACTAGTGACTGGGATGAATTTTTCCAAACATCTGATTCTCAGCAAGCGGCAAATATATTATACTCCAACTTTATACTCCTGCCATACCCGTCGCATGTATAATCAACCTGACCGTATATTTCGCTTGGAAAATAAAACGCAAAAGCCAAACCCTGCTACTCAAAATCGTATGGCTTTTCCCTTTTCATTTCGTTACATAAAATATTCGATGAAATCCGCAATCTTAGCAAAACATACATCCAAACCAAATACTTGGCACTTATTTCACGCATTTTACGATCCCAGAATGTGCCACACTCTCACAACTGTAACAGGGCATTTGAACAGACCACGTTTTACTTAATCTTCCTGGTGCTATATTTACAGACATGTTCCTACCTGGAAGATATCAACGAACACCAGGACGCGGTTTCTATGCCCAACAACACCAAACGGGTGGAATGTTTTACTGAATTTTCTCCTCTCTCGGTTATGTACACTTATTGTAATCGGTTGCTGCGTGACAATACACCTGTCTTTCAGTGTACGTTTTTTTGCCACAATTTCGTATCTAGGTGCGTATGCTCAGCTGACCCATATTGACTCCGTGTTTCGTTACAGCGAGTTTCCGAGGTTAGCGCTGCCACGATATAGAAACTCTTTCATTTGGCGTCGCAGTTAGGATATGGAGAAATCTACAGACGACCTCAGCCCACCAATCGTGAAGCCGGCGCTGTGCGCGGAGGGCTATGATCCGAACCCGACGACAGATCAGCCTCCACTCTTCATACCGGGCGATGATTTTGACAATTGGAAGTTGCGCGTTGGACCGTTCATCGCGGGCGCATCTCAAAGCATAACTAGTCCCATGAATTTGAGCTTCCTGAGAGAGGAGGCGTCACATTTATTCCATTCCGCTCGCGTCTTAGCCTTCGCCCCCGCACCGCAAATACGGACAACTTTACGCAAGCTTTCAGCTCGGACCGAAAATGTAGCCATATTGCGGGAACGGCTGATCGGAAGGCATCAGCCACTTGATGAGACTGTTGTCGCATACGTCTGAGCTCTGGCAACGGCCGCTTGGAAGGCATTTTCCGTGATGGAGGAGATTGAGCTGGCTGTCTGCCAACAGTTTTGCCGTGGGATGAACAACGTATTGCTAAAAAGAAAATTCATGACGAAAACCTCGGTTGACCTGGATGCAGCCACCACAAAGGCCAGAGAGCTCGAAGCGGTAGAGTACTTCTCGACTGAATTCGTCAGCATGATGACGTCACGCAACACATCCGCGGCACCCCCAGAATCAGCCACGATCAAAGCAGAGCACCTGACTCTTAATTTAGCTTTTCTATGATCATCTATACACCCAATGTCTCCGATTCTGCTGCCTCTTCGTCTGAGCTCACCTTACCCTATATCGGACTGCATTCTCATGAGCTGATCAAACCCATTCTTGCAATTATATTTTTCACTCGTTTTGGTACGGATGGAATTCCCTTCATATGGCTACGATCTGGTTGACCGGACATTTCACTTCTAATCACAAGCATGTTTTACCTCTCATTGAACTATGGCAAACTTCCGAGTCAATGGAAAATGTCTACCATAGTACCGCAACACAAAGGCCCTTCTTCCAACTACCGCCCCATTAATCACATCCCCACCGCATCAGTACTATTCGGGTGCCTGATTAAAAAACATGTAACCAAAAGCCTTCTTCAAACAACCGTTTCCTAGGTGGTCAACACGGTTTCCTGCAAAATACGTCGCGCAGCACCTGTCAACTTTATTTTCACATTTTATTCACTAAACCAGGGACAGTAGACAATCCCTGGTGATGATATTTCTTGATATGACTAAGACGTTTGACCGTGTTTCTTATATGCGGCTTATCACTTAACTGAAAACTTTCGGTATCAAACATTCCACCCAGAATTGGTTTACCACCTACCTCTCCAATCGAACCCTGTCAGTGTGTGCTGATAGCTATTTTTCCTTATCTACCCCTGTTAGTGGTGGAGTAGTACGAGACAGTGTCCTGGAACCACTTCTATTCCCCATGTACAATAATGACATCTCCTTACTCTCCTCCATGGTACACCGTTTTTATTTGCAGATAATATAAAAACGTTTATGAGTTCAAAGCACATGAATTTAATCATATTATTACGTTAATACAAAATGGTGTCCTCAGACTTGACCAACGGTGCCGTACATGTGACATGGAATTCTCGGCTAATAAGAGTACCTTTATGACTGTTCGATGTCATATTCCCCCGCAATCTTTCCTAATACGCGACACACCCAATACCTATAACCCCTCACTACGTGATCTTGGAATACACTACTCTTACACCGTCAACGTCTCCGAACATGTCTCTTGTCAAATTTCAAAAGCCAAAAGAGGCATTGGCTTCATAAATAGATTTCTCATACTTCCTGAATCTAAGCTGATTTCTTACGTCTTTGTCGTAAGACCATGCTTGGAAAATTGCCCAATAATATTCTCTAACACCCGTAAAAGTGATAAAATAGCTTTGGAAAATGTCCAACTTTCTTTTACCAAATATTTTTTAGGATATGGTTCCCCGCTTAACTATAAGGATCTATGTGCCATCTTGAACATAAAACTCCTATGGCCACGTCACATGAAACTAAACCTTTGCACATTACATGGGATAAGTTACTACCGCATATTTTCTTCCTTGAGTGCAATATGCACATCTTCGACGTCCGCATACTCTCTGCGTAATAATAGATCCCGGCTACTGATCCCTAGGTGTCCGATCCAACTTCTTCCTGATAAAATACGCTACGTTATGGATTCTGCTTCAGGCTTAGATCTGCGGATGCACATCAACGATGAAATTCAAAGTGATGCTTCACCAATTCATCAAGGTGGAAAATGCACTTTTCATAACAGATGTGAAATTTCGAAAAAAAGGGATTTCAGACGGGTTCAGTCTACAAGAACATTACAAATCATATTGCGGCGGGTCTAAATTATATCCATAATTTTTGTCGTCCTCCTCCAACCTGTGACAAATGTCAACCAGGTGGTGGTGTTCAACTTCACGTCTCAATCGTATCTCAGTAAAGTCCAACAGCCTAAAACGTCTATCAGTCGAATACAAAGCTTGTCGGTGAAAACTTTCTCGGGTATAGTCACCCAGCTCTCTTACATGATAATCCAACACATAAAACTTCATATTTTGTCCCCCCAATATGCCGTGACCCTTGCGAGCCTAGTTGATGTGTACACGATAACATACACAATTACTTATCGATAAGTTGATCCAGCTGTATTTTGACCGCTTATCTAGTACTCGAAGTGTCTTTGAGCTCGTTTTTACTTGACTTACTTGGCTCGATTCCGTGGCAGATACTAACCAGGGAGAAGCGTCTAATTCCTCAACGTATATCCTATCGTTACATGGATTCAGCTTCACAGCTGCATTTGTGAAAACAATCCATTCTGGTATATACCTTCAGAAGTCTCCTGAATGGTTATTCCGTACTCTAGATGTTTCTGATCTCGTTTGTACTTAACTAACTTGGCCCAATTTCCTGGCTCATGGCAACCAGGTAGAAGTGTACGATTCCGCAACCCCAATTCTATCAGTACACGGATTTAGCTCAGGAGCTGGATCCGTGGAACACAATCCATTGTGATACACACTCTTAGAAGTATTGTGACCCTCGATTCCCTACTCAAGATACTTCTCATGTCGTCTTCACTTGATTAACCTGGCTTAATTCCGTGGCACATGCTGATCAGTTAGCTATGTCCACTTCTGCATTCGGATGCCGATCAGTGCGGAGGTTCATGTTCAAATCTGGATCAGTGCAAAAACAACCCATTTTGGTACATACTCCTAGGAGTTTTATGACCCCTTTTTGAGTAAAAGAAAGCATTCTTATCTGTTTTTGGTTGACTTACCTGTTCAATTCCGTGGCGCATGCTAACCGGGCAGTAGTTTCCAATTCCCGAACAAAATTTCTATAAGTATAGAAATTAAGCTCAAAAGCTGGACCTGTGGAGTACAATTCATTTCATTATATACACTTATGTTTTATGACCAATATTTCGTACTCCAGTTCTTTCTGATCTTGCTTTTACTTGACTAACTTGGCTGAACGCCGTGGCACATGCTAACCAGGTTGCTGCGTCCACTTTCTCAACCGAATTTCTATCAGTACATGGATTCAGTTTCAAATTTGGAGCAGTGATATACAGCTTATTCTGATCCATACCCTTAGAATTATTGTGACCCTTTTTAAAGTTCACGAATTTTTTCTGATCTCGTTTTTACTCGAATAATTTTCGCAAATCCGTGACACATACTAACCAGTTGGCAGTGTTCAGTCCTCAACCGAATTTCTATCAGTACACAGATTTAGCTACAGAGGTGGATCTGTGGAACACAATCTAATGTGGTACATACCCTTAACGGCATTTTGACCGTTTATTCATTACTTGACATATAACTGAACGGTGGTACAATGGGATATAATAAGCTTAACGGTGATTACGCTCTCGAGTATATTCACCCAGTTCTCCTAATATGTATATATACATACTTCCTTGCATTATTCCGTTCTGCATATAACTTCGTCACATTCTCTGTTCACCCCATCTCTCCCCGTCTCAGCTGGATATTACCCCAGACTGCTGAATATCGCCTTTTTATTCCAGGTTGGGTTGGTTTGGGCCTGTCGAAGGCTTGGGATCTACACGCACAATGAACAACTTGGCTCAGACAATAGTTTTTTGGCACGGCGGTTTCCACCGTTTGGTCTACATGCGTCCGCAATCTGGCCTAGGTTTAGAATCACACGTCCTGCCTCATCTACAAGGTGTTCTAAGGTTAGATGTCTAGAGTTTAGTCAGTTCCGTATCAAAGCAACCAACGCCTAATTAATCTAAATAACCTTAATCACTCCATAATCAATCGAAGCCCCGAAACCAATGAATGTGCCCCAGAAGCGAGCTGTGTTGCAGCATACAGAAAAACATGTACTTTTACAAACGTATGAATTTGCTGTACTCCTTTTTATCCATTCATATCCACGTGTTTCTATCTTCTCCCGTCGTTTGTTTCACAGATTGTCTCTCCGTATTTTCTCCCATTATTGCCGTACGTTCAATCCTTTCTTTATCAGATTCGCTGTTACTTCAACTTCCATTGGCATGCTTATTTAGTGCATTTCTTTATCTTACACGTCTTCGTTTGTGACGTTGTCCGCTTTGTGATCCTTTTGCACTGCGTTTTCGTTCCTCTCATCCACCATTTCCATTGTGTATATCTCCTAATTAAACCTTCTATATACCTGCACTGTTAATATACATATGATTACTCTGAATATATGATCATGCTTTGTGCATGCCTCACGGGCTTCGTGTAGTATACTTTATTATTATTGGTATTAGTATTAGTACGCATTCATGGGGTTACCGGTCATCAGGTGCACTTACTTGGTGCAAAAGTGTTGTGTATTCAATCTGAATCCGGTGTGTCAATCCCGATCCGATTCCTGGTATCAGCCCACAGACCTGCAAGCAATACGACTATTACAAGGGTCAATCACACTGCATATCAACAACAATAACCCAATCACCTTAAAACTTCAAGATTTAATTGTAAAATATTCCGATAATATTGATGGCATGAGGGTAACGTCGGTAAGGTTGGAAGTGGGCGGTGAACCTGGCTTTTTAAAACGACGAGTTCTCCCATACGGTCAATGAGAAGGTGTCCCGAAAGTGTTGTAAAAATCAAACAGCATAGTGTGATAGGCAAAGTTGAATCCAATGCCTGAGCCGCCCCGATTTTTGTGGTGACCAAAAGTGATGATAGGACACCACGGATATGTGGAGACTATCAACTGAAGTTGTGTTCCGGTTACGAAGATGTGCAGCAACCACCATGGAACCAGAGGATTTCATGAAGTCATTGCATGGTTGCCAGTATTTCTCCTAAATCGATTTGACAGACGCGTACCTACAGATTCCACTCAATGTCCAATCTCGCTACTTAACAACATTCAAAACTCCGTGTTAAA